AGAAGAATCACCAGATGAAGTTAATATAGATCATGGATTGCGACAAAATGTTATACAATATATGACATCTCTAATGACAAATAGCAATAATAATAATAATGTTGTGAGAGATAATCAAGACGGTAATGGTAATATTCTAGCTCAAATTAAAACAACAAGTCACTTATATGATAAAATACAAGATACAATATTTAGATTAATGGCGACTGATTCTATACCTAAATTTATTAAAACTGATAAATATTTGTTGTCATCAAGGAATAAGTTCAATAATAGCAATGATGGCGGCAATTCAGAGGATCACTACCATAGAAATATTTCATCTTCTCCCTCATCGACTAACGGTGCAATTCAATGCTAATAAATTATCATTTAGTAATTATCATTAATTTTTGATTAACTTTTTTAAAAATAATAATTTTATTAATTTGTATTTATTAATAATAAATAGTGTTTATTGTTATTATCATGATTATTAATTATTCAAAACAACCATTTTCAATCATGCCATAAATTCCATCCATCACGCATTTACACACAATTTATATTTCTATACTATTATGCGTATATATATTATTATAGTAATTTATTTTAATTAATTAATTTAATAAATAATTTTTTTTTTTTTTTAATCACTCAATTATTCTTCTTTTATTTGACTCAATTCAATTTATATTACTTCAAAGTCTTGAATAATTTCTTTTTGCTTTGCTATTTCAAAATAACTCTTTTATCTTGGTTCGTTCGTTATTTTTCCTATCATCTCTCGTTTGAGTAGCAGCATCATTCTTTAATTTTCTAAGTGCTTGCTTCTCTTTTTTTTCGTTTTGTTCGTTATTATTATCTATATCTAGTTGCTTTTTTCTTTTCATTGTCTAATTTTTTTAAGATAACTTGGTATTTTGGCTTTATTGCTGATAATTTTAGCCCTCTTTTTAAATGAATTTTTTTTTTATTACATTATTCCCATATCTTTTCATGGCATACAAATGAAATTTTCTAATCCTATTTGTTCTCTTTCTAATTAATTTATTACTTTCTAAATTGACTACGGTATGGAGAAGCTTCTCTCTGCTGATTTAAAAGATATTTTCGGAGAGTTATCATATTCTCATTTATCCACTTCATCTAAGAAAATTTTTTATCTCAATCTGTCCTTCTTCGCCTTCCGTTCTATAAAGAATAATAAATAATTCGGGAAACTTGTTCTTTCTCTATGATTTACTTTTCATATCCCAGTTCAATCCATCCATGAAACTTACAAAGTATTTTGAAGAATGAATAAGGTGAGAAACTTCTCTTTACATTTTCAAAATAAATGATACTAAAACTACTAAAATCATAACCAATAAAAGGG